CGTCTCCCAATGATTATATTTTATTTAATGAGCCAACACAAGTTTATCCCGCATAAACATTCCATTTATGGATTTTTTCTACGCTACGTCATAAATCGTCAAATTCACTCACGAGTGGGTACTTTCATCATATGATATAGTTAGAACTATAAATAAACTTATGAATTCGCGTCCATCATGAATGAAAATGACGCAGTAGGGGCGAACATTTTCGATTAATTGTGACCTCACGTGTAAATGTCAAGCTTAACTCACATTTAACAATGTTTGAGTCCATTTATCGAAAACAACGAGAAGTTGGAACGGCGGTTGAATTATTATTAGACAATCAATGATTCATTCTGGGACACATCGCTAAGAAAGTAGGTAGTTCAACGCGTTATAGATATTGTGTCTTTTTCTGTTTCTCAGAAATATAATTGGTACATTGATGTTACTATGTATTCACGCATTTTTATTTTATGAGCAGCAGATGGGTATTTCCACTAGTTTTGGTATTTTTTATGTGTGTTCGACTTTGGATTGTGGTTACAATGTTCAATTTAATCTGTTTATTGATGATTTAATGTAAGTCTGTGTCGAGTCTAGATTGAGTTGTTGTGTATTAAATTAAACTATTGATATCTTTCCAGATGATTGTTCAAAGATACAATTTAATAAAACTGCAACTATAAAACCTTCATCGAGTGACGCAATTATTTTGTAGCGGGTTCACATTGTGCTGTTAATTTGGATATCAAATTTGGGGTCATTCACGCGTCGGTTCAGTGACAACTCACTCTGACCTACGTATACTATTAATGGAGATCTCATTACCTCTGAAAGAGACATTTAGACATTTATTCGAAAACAAGTTCCATTTCAAGTTCTAAAATGAGGTAGGAGGATAATTTCTTGTCCTTGCATCATTGCAAAAAATCAACCGCCGATTCAGAATTGCAACTAATCATCAAAACACTAAAAAAATGCGTTAAAATCACCCGGTAGACATATAGCTTGATATGACTGAATATGAAAAATGAGATATCCAGGTGGTAGACGCCATTACGGATGCAAAAATAACACGCACGTCAGATCGTGATTGTATAGATGAATTCGAGATACTTGAGATACAGATCTTTAAATTGAGTTTGTGTTGAAAATCGCTAATGTTTAAAAAGTTATTCTGACCCGTAGATGACCTCGAATCAACGTCAATCAGTGTTTTAAGGATGATGCGTTACTGTGCTGTGTTCGTTAATTTTCTTTTTTTTACAATCGTATTGCGTATGTATATACGACATTGCAAGTTGCAAATAAAAACACGTAATCCGTTTGCTAAGTAATGACGAGGAATTACACTTGATTTCTTTCGTTATTTGTTAACGGTCTTGATCGCGAATTGATGAACAGCATTAATTAAGTTGTTTGAGATAAGTTAAGATAATCGTCAGCTGGAAACCCCGTTACATCGGTTTATCGTAGGAAACTAATTGAGTATTATATTGGACTGTCAGTCAAACGCAATAAATTGATTAGTCCAGTTCGACATGCGATGTTTTTCAACTCATCACTTGCATAGTGATGATTAGGTTTGGTTAGCAGACGACAGATCAAGACATTGAATATTAGTGTTCTTTATGCCATTAGCAAGTGTATTTCGTACATTCAATCCATCCTTTGCCACATAAACCACTGTTCGACATTAGAAACTGTAGATATTAGAAGCCGACCATGCATGGACGTCCCTAAGAGCCCGTGCATGATCGTGTTAGAATAAGGTATATTTGACCTCAGTTAAATTGAAAGATTTGATTGAGCGAACCGAGGAGCTGGATCAATCAGCGCTCCTGTAACTACAAATCGCAACCATTTCAATTGTGCGATTGTTCCGTCTTATATAACGTCATAGCTTAAATGGTGGTAGTCGTCGCGCCACGCATGCGCGAGATATATGGGTCTCTTATAAACAGAGATGGCGACTTTGAATGTTGCGCAGATCAACGTTATCAAGCTTTAATTAGGTATGTTTTAGGTTATTGGTGGTATAGAAGGAGTCACCGGCGGTATTTAGTGCAAAACGTGCCCAGGTTTGAACCTCATATTTCTAATTTCCATTAGAATTGGATTGTGGGAAAATCAATTTTTATCAACACAAATGTCGCACATGCGCAGCGCGAAGACCATCGCCCTTTAACTGACAAAAGCACGCGACTTTGCGTTCGATTTCCCATAAATGTGTCACAACACTTCGCGTTCTTTTTGCTATGGAAACGCACCAAAGCACGTGTCATTGTGTTTGATTTTGTGAATTTCTTCTTTAATGCAATAACTAATTTCATTGCATTTTTGTGAATTTCGAAAAGGAATTTATATGCATTTTTTTTACATTTTTTGCATATATTTATGCCTATAATGTAACTTATGTATTAAACGATTCACTGCATGCCATCACGAATCCTTCTATGAAAGTACCTTAAGAATATGTACTAATTACTCGCGGGTTATAAACACAGACTAACTAACTATTTGGAAACACGTAATCTGTATAGAGCCACTACCGATGTATAAATTGCTAAATTATATCACGTTCAGATATAAATTCACATCAAATCAAATAAAAACAATTCACCAATTGTGTTTGCGTGTCTGCCATGACTAAATATTAAGGTATTTAATTGTGGCCTTGCTGATATTTACTATTATTATACATCTGTCACCGTAACGGTATAAGTGACAGCGTCCCCTAAATTTGCGGTATTACACTAGGTATTTTCATCCTACCATAATAGGAAATACGAATTCCAAATATGGAACGATTACGCGCGTACTTCGTTTAGTTTTACGAAATCCTGAGAGCTCTGAACAATCCTGATTTCCCATGACAGAATGTGTTCATTAAACCACATGACAAAAGTTAACGTATAATACATTAATACATAACTGGACATTATTATTCAGTACTGAACATTATTCTTGCTGAATAGTATAATTCGGTTCGAATGTTAAGCAAGATTGCTACTTTTTGACGGTTTAGAATGAAGGTAATAATAAAGCGTTTATGTTCATTCAATTGATTTTTTGTCATAGAGAATAATTTAAGTTGCAAGATATGTTTTCACTTTCTGACGTCAAGTTTAGACATTCTAAACTATTTTTCTATACATTTTCTATAATTTACACACAAATGCCACTACTGAAATGAAAACCAGAATGCTTGATTGGATTGGTATTGTATACAAGAATCTCAATGGCTAACACTGACTTATTGGCTAGGCATACATCATGACATTTGCACAAGTATTTTCGTGCAAATCGTGCAAATAGGTGGTCTGTTTGGATCAAGCATAGAAACGTAACAAATGTTTTTATTTAGTGCCCTATTGTCACAGTACATACCATGAAATGTATAAAATTACCATAAGCCGATTGGTAAAAAACAAAAACAATAATATGCCACTTTATTGTTAGATGAGGTATAACATGTGCAGATTTAATGTAT